ATGAGGTCTTTAACTTTTTTTTTTCAAATCAACTTCAACAAAAAGTACATTCTTTTTCAGGCATTACCGATTGAAAATAGTTTATGTGAAAACAGTTTATGTGAATTGGTAAGTTGTTAAAATTGCTATGATAAAAGGGTTTCTGATTTACAATATCGATACAAGATATACCACATCCCTTGTTTCTTTCGAAGATGACTTAAATGTCGTCTTCTTAGAATGAAGTTAAGTTGAAAAAAGTTGATGTTGATTAAAGCGAAGTTGAAAAAGTTGAAATTCGAAAGAGCAAATCAACCGATGATACAGAGGTCTCCAATATGCTTTTGAAAACTCTTGGTGTCCTACCGACTGCGCCAGTTAGGTTTGTTCATTCGTGATACCTTTTATTTAAAAAAACTCTATTTCAGCAATAAAGTTATGCTAGTACAATGATATCCTCTCAATGATAGCTAGGCTAAGATTAAATTTTTTTAGATTAATAATTTAACAACTTAGTTAACTTGGAGGTGGATAGTGCTGACAGATCTCCTATAACATGCATGTATTCTAATTCTATCCTAGTACCTAACGAGTACTCTTTTAATTAAAACCGTTTAATTAAAACTCTCTGTTAGCTGAGAATCGGTGGTAACGTTTTTACGGAGTATATTGATCAACAAGGGGTAAAATTCGAGCTCGTTCTCTTGAAAAAAAATAGCGTTTTTTCACTTTTCGGTTCACATTTCTCCAAAACTCTTCACCCTATTTTAACAATCATTTTTTCATTTTTGAAAGCAACAATACGCAGTACTGAGCATCTAACAAAATGGAAATCTGAGACGAAAATAAATATAATAAATAAATTAATTGAACATTAATTGGTCAAGCGGACCATGAAACTAGTGAATTTAATAAGATAAGTAAGGGCCGGGACAAAAAGATAGCCCACCTAATATTTTTTCTCTTAATCAATTTTAACCATTGATATAATTTTTTTATTGATATAATTTTTTTTTATCTATTTTGGACCGATTTTCTCCATTAGGAACTGAAAAAAAAAAATATTTTGTAAGAATTAATGAATAATACTTGATTTAGGGTAGACAAAAAGATAGCACTTGTTGTTTATTTACAAACAAAACCAAATCCCTCTGAGAAAGGAAGGCTAATGAAAAATCGAGGATTTTGTATTTCCATTATTTCAAAAAATACCGGTAGGAGTAGAAAAGTAATTTTAAATTTTCGTTTTAACTACTTTTTAAATTTCTCCTGGAAGACTACCGGTCTTAACAACACGACAAAAACGGGCAATTTTAAGGTTTGCATCCAACTCAACTTTAACGGCCCTTCAAATTGCTGAAGAGCTGGTGTAGTGACGAATGTGAAAAACGTCCAAAGGATCATTCGTGCAGCTCCTCACATTAAAAGAATGAAAATGAAAGGCATTCCACCTCTAAGCACGGCGCATAAAGAAAGAAGAAAGGAGTTTGCCCGTGAACACGTGCAATGGAAAGATGAATGGATGTCCGGTTCACAGTCGAAAAAAAATTCAATCTCGACGGTCCCGATGGCTGGGCTCACTATTACCATCACCTACGGAAAGAAGAGAAAGTGTTTTCCAAAAGGCAAATGGGAGGAGGCATCGCATGATATGGGGTGGTATTGGCTATGATCACAAAACTGATATTGTGTTTATTTCTGGTCGAATGAACAACCAACAATATGTTAATTTGTTAGAAAACCAATTTAAAAAAATATTTTGAGCTTGTTCCAAAAGAGAACGTAATTTTTCAGCAAGATAATGCTCCAGTTCACACGGCAAAAGTTGCAAAATAATTTTTAGAAAAGAAAGTATCACAATTATAGATTGGTCACTTAGGCCCCGGATTTTAATATCATCGAAAATGTAAGGGGGCATTTTGCTAGGAGTGTTTACAGCGGTACAATTCTAGGGCGTTGAAGAATTGAAAAAAACAATTCAGGAGGAGTGGGCCAAACTTCCACAAGAGATAATTCGTCATCATTTTGACTCGCTTTTAAATCGTATGATTGCTGCATTAGAAAAAGATGGTGCATATACAGGATATTAAATTTAATTTGTGTTATATTAATTGTGTTTTAATAAAGAATTTTATTATTATTGTTCACTGTGCTATCTTTTTGTCTCACCCCAAATCAAGTATTATTTATGAATTCTTACAAATTATGTTTTTCCAATTCCTGATGGAGAAAATCGGTTCAAAATACACTACATATTAATAAAAAAAATTTATATCAATGGTTAAAATTGATTAAGAGAAAAAATATTGGGTGGGCTATCTTTTTGTCCGAACCTTATATCTAGAAGTATATCTTCACTAAAGCTTTCCGTGGACATTTCATTTGTCGCCGAGAATCAAATAGATTACACGACCTTTGAAAAATGGCAAAAAGGAGGGAAAATTCAAAAGGTGGGGTTGAGATCGGAGGTTAGTGTCCGAGTGGATCGAACTTCTAAGTCACGATAGCTCTAGTGGTAGATTTGGCGGTGTATTTAGCAGAAGGTCGTGGGTTCGAATCCCGTTCGTGACAATGACTTTTTTATCTCAACTAAAAACCTTAATTAATTGAAAGATATTAATTGGTCAAGCGGACCACGAAAACTAGTGAATTGAATAATAAATAAATTTAAAAAATGAACGGAAAAATAATTTTTCTACAAAAAAGAGTTTTACCATTTTTCCCCATTTTAACTTTATTGCCGAAATATTAAAAATTAACTCATTTTCAAAGCCCTCATTGAGGAATTTCAGTAGCGTCGCAAAAGCTCACAAAATGAAACTTGACACTAGTTATAGAAAACTGAAACTGCAAGAAATAAATATAGATACTGTTTAGAAGACAAAACTAAAATAAAGCAAATGGAAGTACTAGTACGATCCAAACAAAAAGTAATAAAAAAGAATAGTGAAAACCTACCAATATATATATATATATATATATATATATATATATAACCCTAACCATCCCTAACCATATATATATTGTAAAAAATATAAATATAATCATGCCCAAAAATATATGGACTCCCAAAACACCATATATCAGATACACTATTACGACCTATTTTTTCATAAGTTAGTTTATATAGTTGTTTTTTAAATAATTTGTTGTTTTTTTGTGTAAATAGGTGTTCAATTAAGTCAGTTGAATAATTGTTATGACTTTATATATATAAAACTTGTTTTCTCATGTCAAGCTTTTGCCTGTATTTGACGCCTTCCTCAGGAATATTTAATTAAAATCAATGTTAAATAGTAAAGATCTTTATAGTCGAAGATAGCCAAAAGCTCGACATGAGAAAAAAGGTTTTTTTTTATCATCATGACTTCTTTGATCTTCTAGCATTATTATGATAGCAAAGATAAAAATACCAGTTACCGCTTTGTGAACGTTGCCACAAAAAAACTCACAAATTCAAATTTGATTAGGTAAAAATCATTCACCTCGGCCGTAGACTCGTGAAAAAGACGATCAACATTTTTATGGATGAAAACGTCTGTAAGTTACATTCAGATATTATTGGTGGTATTGGAGAAGACCAAATAGATAGATAAAGAAATCATTGCAAAATGTATTGCTGTTTATTTAATCAATGTATAAAACTGTTATTTGGAGGTCGTCCGATGTGGTCTGGCGTGGCGTAGGTTTTAGAAAAACATTTTCTTTATCGTGCCAACGTTTCGATCTTTATTGAGATCATCTTCAGAGCATGGGATTTATAAACATTATTTAAATTTTCCAAATACATGTAGGATGTGATAAAAATGAATTTATACAATGCTAGAAAATTTTAGATTTAAAAAAGAATGAATTTGTACAGTGCTAGACATTTAGAAATTAAAACAAAATTAAATTTAAAAAATGAATTTATACAAAGCTAGAAATTTCAGAATCAATCAAGTATTTGAACTTATGAAAACGAGAGTTAAAGAATACTTGCCTAAATCAAACATATTTTCGCAATTTAAGGACCATCTAAAAAAGCAAAACACAATTTCAATTTAAATTTAAATACAAGAGTGTTACATAGTTTCAACAAAAGGAGATAACTAGTTAAACGCATTAATAATATAATAGATTATGATCTACCTCCCTTTTTAAATAAGTTCATGAATAATATTAAACGACCAGGTAATTAAATTAATTATTTTAATTGTTATTATTTTTATAATATTAAGGTATTATTGTAATTTAATTTTTATCTTTTATCTTTAATCTCTAATTTATAATTAATTTCTTAGAGTATTTACCATTATAATATGTACATGTGTTATAATTTCCGCTTTTCGCACGTTCTAAATTGAGCGTCATTAAAAAAATCAGCTGCTAATTGGAACGTCGCGTTGGCGGGGGTGTCGGCGGGTGCACTTTTGTAATTCATGTCGAGTGACGTGGTTGTAGAACTCCGTAAACCTGATGATGCGCTAAGGGCTCGAAATCCGGATCTTTGGAAAACAACTTACTGTGAGAAGGTACTATCTTTTTTAAAAGAATCTTTTAACAAATACGGTCATTATAGATGAATTACTTGAATTGCATGCAATATTGTAAAACAACTGGAAAATTCGATTCTATCTCACTTCTTTCTGTGTGAAAAGTACGTATAATCGTGGAATAAATAATGACAAAACTATAAAGAGGATTGCTGACAAAGCATGTTTGCATAACAGAATCGCATAATAAATTTACTGTTCCGAACTGCTTGTTATACATTGTTAACAAACAGTTGTCGAGTAGAAAAAGGGCTAAAAGAACGACAGGAAAGTCGTAGGCTGGGTTTTCTCACTAATGAGAGAATCAATTCGGCCCTTTTTCCAGGAAGAGTGAAAGTCCTATCAACCACCCTCCGCTTCCATATTCTTACTTAAAAACGTCCGCGTATAGCTTAAACGTTTTAGCACATTACAACATGGTAGTTTAATTTTAATTTTAATATTATTGGCAAGTCTCTAAAGTATCGTATTTAATGTTTCTTGCAGGTACTCATTCTTCGTTCTGCTTTTCTGGCTGTGTCGTCGTCCAACCAGCAAAACTACGACATGATGCAAAAAATTCAGGTATTTATATAATCATCTTGATCAGTAGTGAATAATGTGTAATCATAATGATATTTATCAACTATTTTATTTAACTCCATTAGATTTCGTGATCCAATTGACCAAATAGCATCTTTCAATTAATTAATCCTTATTTAAGGTAGATAAAAAAGTCAGTGTCATGAGCTGGATTCGAACCCACGATCTTCGGCTAGATACGCCGCTGCTCTACCACTTGAGCTATCGTGACTTCGATCCACTCGGACACCAACTTCCCACTCAAACCAACCTTTATTTTTTTGTTTAACATTTAACAGTGCTGAGCTTTTTCTTATAATAAATCTAGCGTTGGTGATTTTTTTAAAGGTGTTTTAATGAGATTATAAATGGTTATTAAATAGCAAAAATAATATTAGACCGCTGTCCCTCTGAGCCTATTCATTAAATTTACCGCGTTTATACGACCGCCCCGAATGTTAAATTATTTAACAAAGGATAAAACGGAGAGCGTGATGGTATTATGAATTGTAATTGACCCTTTATTCCATGTACACAAACAAACACCCGTTCTGAATGTCGATCTAATTAATCAGGCGATGGAGCAAATCAATGAAATTGAACTAATGGGTTGTCTAATTAGTTTGCATGATTGATACAGCGTGTATTATTATTGGGTTGTCCGGAAAATAATGCAGGATTTTGGTATTAAACAAAAAAAAAGAAACTAGTTACTTTAAAGCAATGTTCTTTAATCAAAATAATTATACATTTCTCCCAACGTGTTGGTAACTTATTAATTCCGTCTGAGTAGAATTCAGAATTTTTAGAATTGATAAAGTCAATAAATGCATTTTCCAGTTCCGTTTGATTTTTGAATATTATGTGTTGTAAGTAGTGGTCCAGGTGTCTAAAAAAATGGTAGTCAGTAGGCGAGAGGTCCGGAGAGTAGGGTGGCTGAGGCAAAGTTTCATAGCCAAGCTCCAATAATTTTTGTGACGTTACACGTGACACATGTGGTCGAGCGTTGTCATGCAACAAAATGGGCCCTTTCCGATTGACCAAAGAGGGCTTCATTACTGCCAATTTCTGATGCATGGTATTAATTTGGTTACAGTATGATTCAGCATTGATGGTTTCGCCAGGATTTAAGAAGCTGTAGTGTATTAAACCAAATGAAGCCCACCATACCGTAACCATTACCTTTTTTTGATGAGTTGGGGGCTTTCGAAAATGTATTGGAGCTTCTCCTTTGTCGAGCCACTGTCCAGAACGTCTAGTGTTATCGTAGAGAATCCACTTTTCGTCACATGTAACAATTCTGGCCAGAAATGGGTCATTTTTGTTTCGACAAAGAAGTGATGCACAAACATCAAAGCGCTGATTTTTTGGCGATCGTTTAATGAGTGTGGAACCCAATTTTCGAGTTTTTTCACTTTTCCAATCGCCTTGAGGTGGTCAGCGACGGTCGTTTTACTGACTTTGAGTTGCTCTGCAAGTTCTCGAACAGTTGTTTTGGGGTTTTCTTCCACCACTGATCGCAGAACATCATCATTAAGAGAGGAAGGCCTTCCACGACCTTCTTCATCTTCAAGGCTGAAATCTCCCTCCCGAAATTTTTTAAACCACCTTTGCACAGTGCACTCATTAACACAACCCTCGCCCCAGACTTGGTTAATGTTTCTAGCCGTTTGGGCTCCGCTTCGGCCGAGTTTAAACTCGTAAAAGAAAATCGTACGAAATTCTCGCTTTGACATTATAAGGATGACTGAATTATTTCCAAGTAGCGGAATGCTACAGAGGTAAACAAACAATATCATTTGGAAGAGGATTAATAAGTGTTGACATTCATACAAATGAGTAATCCTGTAAACGTAAACAGAATATTTTATATAGATTTTTTTTAATGAAAACTTAAAATCCTGCATTATTTTCCGGACAACCCAATATAATTATCATTATTTTCAATACGCACAGTTTAACTGTATAATAATACTCAAGGACAGATTTTAAATGCTGTGCAGACCATACGGTCTTTTTGCGAAAGGTACTTTTCTTTTAGACTATTGAGCCATCCTGGATGGGCCGATGGAGGTCACTGCGCCTTGGGAAGAATTCGGCACGTTGATTGGGAATATAACTAGAGTTATAAAGTCTGGGTGTTTCGACACTGGTTTTACTACGAGCAACGTGCGTAGGTACTGTTTTGTTAGCAGAAAGAGAAGTCTTGCAATTGGGAAAATCTGTGATGGTTCCCCTTTAATCCAATGCCAGACCCAAAAATATCTTTTATCGATCTCACTTTTTAACATACTTTAATTGGCAGAACCATGGGCAGATGTCTAGGGTAGAGTAGTCAATTATTTTTCATTTGTCATACTGTGTATGTATGCAGGAGTACCTCCGAGTATATAGGCATCTAAAGTCAGTACAATACCAAGAATTTTTCTTCCTCTAGGCTACTCATTTGGGCATCATGGATAATTCCCTTAAGTAGCTTTTCTTTCACCCTCTCATTCTTCTCATGGACTATACAAAACGGGGGGAAGGAACAAGTGGAAGCTGGCTCATTATTAAAATTCAAAAGGTCAAACGATTTAAATGATTCCGGACGGTAGGTCTGGAAGGTAAGAATCTCAATAAGGCCGGATGTACGTCCCTAGGGACCTAATTCGATTCTAAAAAATCCCATAAAAACACGATTAAAAGCAAATGACAGCGTTTGTGAGCTGGATCGGCAAATAAGCTGTTACATATCCTATGCACGGTTGATACATGACCTCAGATAGTGTCTAAAAAGCAGCATGATATCATTCTAACCAAACTCAAAATCGGCCGTATATGATTGACATACGTCCACTTACCTTTAGTCCAAAGCCCGCGGACGGGTCTTGGAGCTGGTCGATGGGTTCCAACTTAAAGCCGGGAACACACTTACCCGGTGCAATGCTATGCGACGCTACTCTTCTCTACGCCATGTGATCCGCACTGTCCAGATTTTCGCCGGGTAGCATCGAGTACAGACGAAGACAAAAGAACCGGACGTATTTTTATTCAAACTACATGTATTATTGTCGTTATATTAATTACAACATACCTCTTTTAACATAAACCAAATTAACAGAGATTAAAAATTCGATAGTTTTTATTTAAAAAAAAATTAATTTTAATGGTTTAGTAGAAAATTGATCATTAAAACACCGGAATACCATTTTTATATATAATGAATTTAACTAACAACTTATTATACGGTTTTGCTCATAAAATTTAATTAACAATTTATTTCATAGTTTTGCTCATAAAATTACACCATTTCCGTCGAGTAGCTTCGGTACTGGACACTCATATTTTTTGAAGTTCACTTCAAACTAAGTATATGTAATTTTGTCGTATATTAATTACAACATTCTTATTTTTTTATGTAAACCAAATTAAGCGAAATCAAAAATTCATGAGTTTTTATTAAAAAAAACATTTAATTATGTTGGTTAGGAAGAAAACTTACACCGGAATAACTGTACTTAAAGCAATTAAGTTTAACAAACAATGTACTACGTGTTTGTGCTGAAAATAATGCATTAAGAAAAAAAGAGGCCTTGCGATTGTGATACTGATTTGCGATACTCGCTGTGTGACTGTACGTGGCGTGCGCTTGATGTCGCGTAGATGTGCACACCCTACCAAAACGTGGCAAGGCGTCGGTAGCGTCACATAGCGTTGCTTTGGGTGACTGTGTTCCCAGCTATAATAATGAACGTGGGGCAGTAAAAGAAAAATTTCAGTTAGATTCTACTCCCATTCCTTTTTGATTTATCCGGTTTGATTGTAATATAAATATTGTTCTTTTAAATGTTTGTGAACGGAAATTTAACTGTGTTTTTACGGTTGAAGTTTTACCGTTAACAAATATTAATAGTCGAAAGAGCAATACAGTTCAATTTTTAAATAATGTCAATAATAAAAGGTCAACAACATAACGCCATTTATCAAGTTGGAATATGTATTTCCATATACATATTTTACAAATTTAACACTCTTAATTTGCCCCCCCCCCTTTGCCAGGCTTTCAGCAGGAGTTGAAATGGTTATTGAAGTTGCATCCACTGAACACCGCAAACGCAGGATCAGAGAAATATTGCCTTCAGGGCCTTGATTACTCTCAAAGCGGTCTGTGCGATCATTATTTACCGTCTTCTATAAATTTGGGGACGGTAGAGCGTGGTTAGAGATATCCAAAGCAAATTTGGACATCGGCAACACAGCCGACGACAAAACCTAACAAACTTGAAAAAAGGACCTCAACACGTTTCTAACAGTCTCAGGAAAGTATTTGCTTTAAAATTATGATAAACAGACTTATTCTGTTCAAATAGATACAATGAATGGAAATAAATTTATTCGATAATTTGAAAACATTTTGAAAAGTTTGCATTTTTTTAGCAACTATGCAGACGTGGTTTTAATCAAAGGAAAGCATTATTTGACAAGTCAAAGGAGAAGAAAACTATGAGTCAAGCATTAGAAAATAACGTAAAATGTTATGAACGCTCATTCAGATGGGAAGCTGTATAACATGAAATATAATCATTAATCAAAATCCATTATATTTCGTGGTCTGATTGACTAAATAACTTCTTTCAATTAATTAATTTTTATGTAAGGTATTGGTTGAGATAAAAAAGTCAGTGTCACAAACGGGATTCGAACTTCGGCTAAATACGCAGCTGTCGAATATTTATTCCAATTCCAATTAATTATTCTTTTTATCTAAGGTTTTTGGACGAGATGAAAAATTAGTGTCTCTAGCGGGATTCGAACCTACAACCTTCGGCTCAATACGTCGCTGCTCTAACCACTTGAGCTGTTGTTGAGATGAAAAAAAGTTAATGGCACGAGAAGGATTGAAAAATGGCAAAAGGAGGGAAAACTCATAAGGTGGGGTTGAGATGGGGAGTTGATGTCCGAGCGGATCGAGGTCACGATAGCTCAGGTGGTAGAGCAGCGGCGTATCTAGCCGAAGGTCG